CTCTCCCCCCCTCCGCCGCCGCCGCCGCCGCCTCCTCCTCCTCCACCCCTACGTCCAGTCTTCGTTCCGTGTTTCGATCGAGGGAATTTTCTCGCTTTTATCAATCGGACGCGAACGGATCAACAGCCAGACCGCATCTGGAACACACACGTACACACAGGCACGCGCGTACCTCTAACTGCGCGCGAACCACGCGTCAAACGTGCCCACTGCTCTCGGGTATCCTTGCCCCGAGGATCTCGCGACCGAGCATCCTCCTCCTCTCCCTTTATCCTCTCCTTGTCCTTTCCTCCGGTTGTTCGTGCTCTCGCGATAAAGATCTCTCAATAGTTGAAACGTGACACGAGGCGACGCGACGAACGCATCGTCGTTCCTCTCACGTGAACTCGTGCGCGCTGATCGACCGAAGATCTAGAGTTGTTGCGCGTCGCGTTCACCGACCGGCTGGCGTCTGCCAGCGGCAGCGCGCGACTTTCGAAAAGGGGGTGAGCGGGCGTTCCCGCGCGCGCCGCGATTTTCTTTTTCTCGATTCCCGTTTATTCGATTCTGTTCCCCCTCCCCCACACGATTGAAGGTCCTTTGTCGTTGGGACGGCGAGGACGGGTCCCTAGTGCGAAGTCTAGTCTAGCGTGGAAGTGCGAAGAACAGGCTACCGAACGCAGCGAGACGAAGGGTTGCCGGGTGTCGAACAAGTTCCCGGCTCGAAACCGTGTTCATCGAGGAACACGAGAATCACCAATCGACACGAGAATAAACACCAGGGAGCACCAATCAGCAGCAGCACCAGAGCACCAGAGGGAGCGCGATCTCTCTGCATAGAAACGGGGAGGGAAAAACGTGCGCGCGGTTTTGGGTCGCGTGTGGCGGCCGCGCGCGCGTTGCAGAGCCCGATAAAGCGACGACGAACGACGCACGATCTGAACCCCGTGGCGAGCGCGTCGCAACTGAGAGGCTCGCCGCGGCGACGGTTCGCTCGAGCGGCAGTGGAGAGAGGTCCGTGAGGCGGCCGAGCGCCGATACCGTGTGTTTGCCGCGGTGCCAACGCCGACTCGAGGGGCGCGACGCGAGACGCGCGGAGCCGCGGGGAGAGTGCTGCCGCCGAGGGCGGCGAAGAGGGAGAGGGAAAGAAGGAGAGCGACAGGAACGGCTGGCGGCGAAACAAAGAACCATCGAGCCGAGTGGCGTGCGACCGACGAAGAAGGAAGAGCCGCGGCCACGGCCGGGGAACCGAGAGAGACGACGCCGAGGCGTGACAGAGAGGAAAGAGGAGACCGCGAAGAGAGAACCGATGCGGGTGGAGGAAGCTACGTAGCTCGCGCGTCCTGCGTTCCCCTCGCTCCGCCGTCGCATCGGCCAATCGGGAGGCTCACCTTCCGATCGGACGCGCCGACAGGCGCCGCCCCCGGAGACCGCCTCATACCGCCTCTCCTTCTTTCTCCCTCGCGCGATCGGCCTCTCTATCCCCGAGAAGAAGAGAAATTCTCTCGCGGCAGATCGGAGAGGAGGCCCACCACCGATCGGCCTCCCGAAACTCCGATCCACCGATCACGACGAGAGGAGGTCACGCCGCACCGATGCCGGTGCTGCTGCTGCTGCTGCTGCCGC